CCAGCTTCTCCTGGGAAAAGTCGCCACTGCCATAATCCTCGCAGCCCGGACCCTCCACACATCACACATCAGACTGCGGAGACAAAGCATGAAGGTGGTAAGGAGGAACTAAGGGGGGCGAGGCTGGGCAATGTGACTTCGATTGCTCTGTTGAGGGTGGGGCTCGATGGCGAACCTTTGGCCGCTCTGGTGGGGGGTTTATGGGGGACAAAAAGGGATTGGGCCGGGGGGTAGATCTGAGCCCAGCATTGACCCGCTTCATCATCTCCTCAGTGAATTTCAGGTGTGGGAAGGAGGGAGAAAGGGAGGGGGAGGAGGGTGATGGCCTGTCAGGGGTTTGGGGGACTGGGGAAGATTGTGGTCCCTGGTCCTGGTCGTTGATGTTGTTGAGAGAATTGGAGGCAAATAGGGACCCCTCTTCTTGCCTCAGATGTCTCTCCTTTCTGAGGCTCTTCCTCAGATGCCTCAGATGTCTCTCCTTTCTGAGGCTCTTCCCGGGTGGGGGCAGATGGAGCTCCTCCTCAAGGTTTCTGCTGGGCTTTGTCTGTTCTTGGAGTACTGTTTGTTCCTCTTTATGAGATAACTCCTCGTTTATCTCAGCCTTGGCACCAAGCACAGATGGATGACGTATGGAATAAAACAAGTTGGAGGTGAACAGTTTCACCCCTGACTTGTTAAAATCAAATCTATTTGCTTTAAACAGATGCCTGCGTTCCCAAAAAATATTAAAGTTGTTGATAAAATGCACTGAGTGGTCCGCACATGCTGATATAAGCCATTTATTCAGTGTAAACAACCTGCTGAATCTCTCGTCTCCTACTCTGACGGGCGGTACAGGTCCACTGATGAATACAGCTGCATTCAGAGAGTTTACAGTATTTAGTAATCTAGTAAAGTCCCGTTTCAGAACCTCCGACTGTTGTTTGGACACATCGTTTGACCCTGTATGCAGAACAATGTTTGTCACAGTTGGATATTCATCTGCAATTTGAAGAATTCTCTCCTTCAGGTTGTTGACCATATCGTTAGGAAAGCAGAGGACTTTTCAAAGAGTTGTTAAAGATCTTTAACAACCAGATAATAGATTAGGGTTCATACATCTGTAACCTTTTTTACAGCTTACTCAAGATGACATTGCAAAAGTCCATTCATTCAAATTCATTGCTGAAAACAAGCCCCAGAAAGGAGGGCAAAGCCTTTGCTCACTCTGATGTTTTAAAACTCCCACAAATCTAGCTGGAGAAATACCCAATGTTGTTTTTATTGTCCTATTATCCTATAGATTAGAAAGACAAAACATAATGGTCATTATATATTTAAGGTGTGTTCACTGACTCACAGCTTTAACCTATGCTCTAAAGAACAAGCAAGGCCATGTTCCATTTTAAAAGCTGTTGTTATGCTCAGTGGCACAGTTACTTTAAGTTCCCTTTATTAGTCTATTTTCACCAGTAAATTTGCTAGTTTTATTTAAAGAAATCAGTATTATTAGCCTAATATTTTCCAGTAAAGATGAAAGGCTTACATATACGCAACTCCTAAAAATAAACTTAACAAAAATTAAGAACAATGTTAATATTTTAGCTCATGTGGTCTGCAGGCTGGACGTCGCTCCAGGAAAGTTTTAATCCCAGTTATTAAAAATTCGAGTTCATAATGATTAAGTGTAACCTTTTCTATAGCTTACTCAAGATGACACTGCAAAATCCATTCATTTGAATTCATTGCTAAAACCGAGCCCGGTGAAGGAGGGCAAGGCCAGAATGTTCTAACTTTTACTAACGTTTCTCACTCTGATGTTTTAAAACTCCCACAAATCTCACTGGAGAACAACAAAATGTTGTTCTGCTGTTTTTTTGGTCTCAGAATTTCTGTGGCAGATGACTGCAGTTGCTTGCACATTGTGCTTGGCTGAAAGGTACAACCCACAATCTGCTCACTCTGCAGTCACATTTTAAACAGTCAGAATCACCCACACACATGCTTTAACGGTGAGCGTGTAGTAAAGTTGTTCTCTTTTCAAAACGGGAACTTTACGATTGCATCCTTTCAACACATGTAACAACACAACCTGGGTTGGCTCTTCACTACTTACACTCAGTGGCTGGATTATTAGATACATTTGTTGCATTTTAACACCAATATCTAACTGGCCAATCACATGACAGCAACGTATTACATTTAGGTATTTATACATGGTGAATAACTAACCTTGAAGTCAATAAGCTACAGCAGCAGAAGACTACTGTTGCCAGCTAATAAAAAGAAACTGAGGCTACAAGTAATATGGATCTCAAAAAATGGACAACAGATAATTGGAAAACTGTGGCATGTTCAAATGTCTCTCAGCACAAAGTAAGCATTGTTTAACACCGCAGCCTACCTGAGCCTCTGTACATATTTGTACATCTTATGGCTGCTCCCAGCCTATCTCAAATAATCTCAGACTAGTTGAATGAACAAGACAACTGGTTCATTCCACTCAAACGCACAATCATCAGATCTCAATTCAGTGGAGCAACTGACAAATATGCAGCAGTTGTATGATGCTTTAAGTCAGCATGTTTCCAGCACCTTGTTGAATCTATAGCTTCAAGGTTTAAGGAATTTCTAAAGGCCAATGGAGATGGGTGGGGGTGGGGGGTGTTCAACTTAACACAGTAAAATAGGAACTTTCCTAATAAAGTGGTCAGCGAGTGTATGCTAATGAGCCACACTTTTGAAATATAGCGAACACGAGCTCTGCTGTCTTTTGAGCTGATCCCACATACTGTAGTTCAGCTAAAATAATATCCAGCAAGTTTTGCTTCTGCCTGGATTCAGGGCTGAGCAGTGAGTCCTTTTTCCCCAAATATGTTTATTAACATGAGAAAAATATAGTGTAACACCATTTAAGGTTTGCTTACATGTTCTCTTTAGCTGCTTTTTCCAGACGGCTGAAAACATCATGGAAGAGAATGCAGCTTGACTTGCTGTTAATGTCATAACCATAGCTTCTTTTCCAGAAGTGCTTCAGATCATTTGCATACTCCATTACCTGTTGAATAAGAAAGTCAGCGTCAATGCCAATTTTACTTATATAGCACATTTCATTACACATAAGCATGGGCTTATTGTAAAAGTTGAAAAAAATAAAAAGTCTAAGGCAATAAAAACAGCAAAACAAAACTGTAAAAAGGAATGAAATACAAGTTAACATTTACAGGCACGCAGACACACACACAGTTATTAAGTGTAAGGCTGTTAGAATAAAGAACGTTTTGAGTTTGATTTCGAATGTGAAGCTTTAATTGGCCTTAGCTTGGTCCACAGGACAGCACTACAGTAACTAAAAGCAACCTCAGCACACTTAGGTGTAGCTCTGGGAACAGTTAACAGATCTGATAACCTGAGAGATCTAATTGGGTTACAGACAGTGAGCAAGTCAGAAATGTCCTGGGGAGTCAAACTATTGAATCCTTCATAAACTAACAGAAGGATTTTAGAGGTAATTCTATATCAAACTGTGAGCTAATGCAATGACTTCAACGCTGCGGTAATACTACAAAAACAAAACTAGTCTATGTGCAAATCTGGCATAACTAAACAAAAAGGATAGAAACCTGCTGATCGTTCACTGTGCAGGTGACAGTTCAGGCTTTCTGAGATCAGATTGCAACATAAGACACAGGAATCTCTTTGTGAGGTGAAGTACAGGACACATTTGGCAGGATCTTTCTCTAATCTGAAGCTTGTCTCTTTATTTGTTTCTACTTATTTATTCATAAAACAGACTGTGCACGTGAAATGCAACAGCTGTGATACAGGGTATTTCATTTAATTTGGCTGGTTTTCTTCTTGTTGTCTATTTATTTGGTGAATTGGAACAAAATTTGGCAAATTACTGCCACCAACTGGACAAACTTGTTATAGTTTTATTATTCTAGTAGTTGGGGTGTTTGTCCCTTCAGTTAAGGGTAAGAGAGTCAGCTCACAATAATTTATTTTTAATAAAGTGACAGAAAGTTTGCACTTGTAACGAATTTTATTTAATGATGCTCAGGATGATTCTTATGTTGTTCATTATTTTGTTTTCACCTACGCGTACGCTCTTGTGTGTTTTCAGCCTTGTGTTTTCAGCCTTGGGGCGACCGTGGCTCAGGGGTTGGGAAGCGTATCTGTAACCAGAAGGTTGCCGGTTCGATCCCTGGGCTCTCTGTCCTGGTCGTTGTGTCCTTGGGCAAGACACTTTACCCTACCGCCTACGACACAGGACACAGGCAGCCTCGCTTCTGTCAGTCTGTCTCTTGTGTCTGTATTAAGTTTTACTTCCCTGTTAGTTCCCTATCACCTATAGGGCTATACTAATGAAACTACATGATAAACATTTAGAAAAGTTACAGAAAAGATTCTGTTTAATCATTGCTCAGACTTTCTTGTAATTATAAGTTTAGAATATAAAACTTTAATTAATTCACACAAAATTGCCTTGCACTTTGGTGTGGCATGAATGGCAGTGGGTGGAGGTCTTTATCAGTTGGAAAAGCTGTAAAATTTTATACACTCCTTAATATTTTCCAAAACTGTCCATTGGAGTCTTTCCTGGGCTGATTCTGGCCCTCAAAATGTTTGACACTCCTGTTTTAGAGTTTTCTGTCAACTTATTCACTGACTGAATTTTAAATATCTTTTAGATTCTTTGGACTTCCTGTACTGAGTGCATTAAAGGCTGATTGTCTGAGATTAGGTCCTACATCTGCAACAGAAGCTCTATTCAATCAGTAAGACATCATTTATCTCTGTGTGTATGTGCTTGATAGCACCCTTAGTAAGAAAAAAATATGGCCTGTAAATAAATTGCCACAGTCTACAAAAATTAAAAGTACTAAACACATACCACTTAATGTGGACATTTCTGAAACTGGAAACATTGTAATCGGGGGTGGGGTGGGGTCATCATGCTTTCCCTACTGTGATACACGACTCAAAGTTAATCTGAAGCACATATTACTGCTTTATCACAATGTGCAACCCTATTCCTGTGTCACCTGTGCATCGACCTCGTCGAAGAGACGACACCATGGAGAGTTCACAGTCTTGATGGCAAACTCATACGCACACAAATAAAATGCAGCTTCGGCCATATCTGCAGGAAAAAGATTAAAACAAAATGTTAACAGTCAGTGAAATCACAGCAGTCAGGAAGCTGTTAGAAAAACAGAAGTGAAAGCAGGAAGCGACATATTAAAAATCTTAGGAGCACGGTATGTGTTGCATTTTCTTTATACAACTTTAAGTATGGAAGAAAATCCTGAAATTAGGTAAAAGTTCCAATTTATTTGGGTAATAAAGACAACAAATAATGGAATGGAGAATGGAGTAGTATTTGAAAGACACCATTAAAAGTACAAAAGTACAAATAAACATAATTTAATAAATATTACATATATTTTGATAGTTTAATATATATTATATTAGGTAGTTCGTTTAAATGGTAACAAATCTAGGAATCAAAGATCATTTCAGAGGTTTAAAAGATTCTCTTTTTTGTAACAAGATGTATACATATTTGGCTTTTTGGAGCATGTAATAAATTTCTGTTTACAACTCAGAAATATCTGAAAAGAACTCCTAAAATATATAATATGATAAAACATGTTAGAGGTAAAAAAAAGGTTGAAAAGTATTATTTCAGTATTTTCTTTTCACATTTCATGTATAATGAAGATGTGAGAGTTAAAAAAGCACAACGCTTCTCTGTGAAATATGGAAATGAACTTTCCAACACTCATGCTGTTTCAAAGCTACAGCTGAATGTTGTCGAAAGCTGCACGTTCCTAAACCGCACCAAGCAGACAAACTTCTACTATCAGCATTAACGCTGAGTGAACTTGCATTATTGTTATTATGTTTGAAAACAGCTCCATCTACTGTGCAAATATCTGCTGTAAGAAGCCCAGTGACACGCCATAAGCAGAATTTCAGAAGTTTTTATTTTAAAATGTTTGGTAATAATTTAGTAATAATTATTGGTGAAATGTAGAAAGTGTTCAATTGTTAAACCCGTGAAGCCAAGATGTGACAAAATTATCAAATAAATGTGTTAATAGACCAACTAGAAATTGTAAATAATAACACACCAGCTATTTCACGGATAAATAATAGAGCCTCTGTCTGTCTGTTCTACATCTAACTCAAAAGCTTTCAGCTGATCTACTTTAAAACACAGTGACTTTAATCCTTGGGAAGTGCACTACTAAGCTGGTGTCATTCTAAGGAGTGACGGATTAATTTTTGTGGCCACACACCTCTGTGGCAATATAAAGATGTCACCAGCTACGATGAGGGTAGTTTATAAATCAACTTTCACTGACTGTGAGATCTAACTTTGCTGTTAAAGACATGCCTGTAACAGTTAGACCCACAGTGGTAACACATATTAACATAACAAGCGGTAGACTTACGAAACCAAAGCGGCCAACTGATGTTTAAGTTGTGAAATGTGCATCGCGTATGGTTTTTGACAGTTTCATTACCTGTGAATTCATGTGGGGAAAAAAAAGTCTACTGCGTCTACTGCAAGTTCTTTGAGCTTGCACTGTGTAAAGTGGCACAAAGAAATCCTGCACAATATTAACCTACTATATAAACATATATCTACTGTCATATTTAGGTGTTCTGTACTCTAATCAGCTGTAATCAACTGGTACTCTATATCTATCTATCTGTCTATCTATCTATCTATAGCTTAATCTGACTATATGTAATGCTCTCAAAATGATGGATATGATAATACACCACTAACCATCTGTGATTGCACTGTATGGGACGTTGAGGATGTCTGCGATCTTCTGCTGGACCCTCCTCATCTCTGGCCCTTGCTTGAACTTCTCCACCTCTGTCACAGCTGATGGGTTGTTATCAACTTCCTCCAAAAACCTGGTGCATTTATCAAAAAACCTCATGAGAGCGTCATTCACCGCGTGATCAAACTCCATATCTGCACAGAGGAAAGCAACAGATTATAATGAGCAACAGGTTATGCATAAAGGGGCCATCATAATAATCATGGTCGTACCTTTAATATGCCACAGCTCTGTTAGTCCTGCCTTGAAGGACAGTGTGCTGTTGACACACCTGTGCTTTGAGCTGGTTATGAATTTGATGAATCCACCTCGAAGCTTCTCCTCTGAAATCAGTGAGGGGAACAGCTTTGACAGCCTGACAGCCAGGTGTTTGTGATCATTCACACCTTTCTGGACGAGTCGTCCGTCCATGTCCTCGGTGTACCACATCCTCCACTGGTTTTGCAGTTCACGCAGCCAGTTCCTGTTGGAAACATTGCTGCCCTGAACCACGTCGTAAAGCTTCTTCATCTTCTTGACGTTTTTTGTGGTCGGGTATCTGGTTCCGTGCCTTATTACGGCTGTCAGATGGATTTGGCGACATTGTGCAGACGGAGGCTGTAAAATTGATCTGTTTACAGCAAGTATGTCCTCTATGAGATACGGGTTCACTTCCTCATACCTTCCTTTCGTGCTGAAATATTTGGCGATTGCTGGGATCTCTGGGTTCTCCTCTGGATTCACGTCGGTACAAAAACAGCTGGAAATACCGGTTATGATGGTAAAATAAAAAACTGCGCTTTTCCTTAAAGCGGTCGTCATGATGGGTTACTTGTGAGGCCGTGCGCAGACCCGAGAATGACGTCGATCATGTGGGACTGTCCAACCAATGCCTTGTAGAGGGAACGATACTAAAATGACAAGCTCTGCTTGTTTATTAATATTCATGGTGATTGTATAATTTCTGAAAGTGACTGTCCGTCGGTTTCCAAAAGTTATTTGATACTTTGAGGAATATTTTGGGTTTTTTTAAAAAAAAATTGATTTGATAAAAGTAGCTTACTGTTTCACACTAAAGCTTTTGAAGCATGACTACGAGGCATGACTTTTTGGGGCACATCACCCTGATCTGAAGTGCTAGAGTTTTCTCTTCTTGCCACTTAATTAAATTAAAATGATTAAAATGAAATTCTAAACTCTTCATTAACTCCTTTATTTAGGAATGTAGCAGGAGCAAATGATTAGTAAATAATGGTAATGTGTTAAAAATCTCTTAACATCATCAATTAAAAAGGGTTTTCTATAAACAAAAGACAGTGGTCTGCACACACAAACCCACAGATTTGCATCATTGTATCTTCCCTCAGCGTTAGTGCACTGTAATGGAGATCAGAGATTCAGCTTACTGAAAGTCTACATATGTTTTATTGTTTATTGAATTCTTTATTGAGCTTAGCTGATATTTTGGAGGATTGTTTAGGTGACAGTTCGTGGTTGGTTGGTGTTGATGTGTTTTTCAGAGAAGCCTGTTGTTTATTCATAAAAATCACACAATAGCACGTGGATTTTATTTATCAGCTTTTTGCCTCTTTTTCAAAAACTTGATGCCACCTCTAGTCAAATATTTAAGCAGTTTGAATATGATGCAAAACATAGCATGCAAAATAGGTTTGCCGTGAAATCTCACCTTAAACATTTGCATCATTGAAACTGCATGTTGTAACAACAGCTGTTTGTTTAGAGAAGAACAGTAATTATTAGCTTCACCACTGCAGTGGTACCTTAAGTCATCAGTCACTATTTAAATGACACTCCACACCAGAGCCGCTTATTCCCAGATTGTGTTGTAATTTAAAAAACAAAAACATAAACAAATGACGACAACAACAACAACAAAACAAGCTACTTAAGCTGTTAAGTAAGATTTTGGATTTAAGATAGAAATTTTTTAATGTGCACATCTACCTCTCTGACTTCCCCAAATAGCTCTGTGAGGGTGTGACATTACTTGAAATTAAAGTCATTTGTGTCAGTAGTGAGTGAAATATGTGAATGTTTGTCTTCTTGGCAGTGACACACCCACAGCCTTGCACTTTTTTTTATGTAATATACACTGCCTGTTGCCAATGGCATCAGCAAAGGCAGATGCTGGAGTAAGCAAACAACGGTTATTAATTATTGTTGGTGTGTGTCACATCATCTGGGAGTTCACAAATCACTGAAACACAGGTTCTAATCACATAAATCAAGCATGGGAAGCAGAACTGAGACATCATTTGCGAAATACTTTCATGTGTGTTGCCAAAATATGTGTGTGTCTGCATGCTAGGTGTGGTGGTGGGGGATGGGGAGAGTATCTTCTCCCTTGCCAGGGAATAAATAAGCAAATAAATAATAAATACATTTAAAAAAAGACATTATCTTCTGCTATTGTTAACCTTTATGCTGGATTTATGACTCCACAGATGCGAACTCCTCTAATGCAAAAATGTCTTATTATTATTTAGTTTTGAATGAATCATATTCATGGAATTTAGCTTATAACTACTTAAAGGTTTTTGGGGTTTTTTTCTATAAAAGAAGATTTCTTGAACATTTCGTTAAACAAATTAATAGAAATAAAACAGAGCATATTTGTCCATTTATTTCTTTAATGTCAGAGCTTAAGAAAAGATGGTCATCGCTTCAAGATGGAACACTTAGAAATAAAAGCTTTTTCAGCCAGTTGCGTTTTTACTGTAGAAGCCTATCATTTATTCCACTGTGGAAAAATGAAATAACAAGACCTCTGTTAATATCTGCCTAAACTTCAGCAGGCTGCTTGAACAGCTGACACTCGGTTTCAAAGTCGCAGCCTTTGAGCAGATCACTGTAGTGCTCTAAGACATCTCGATAGAGCGGCATGGAAGACCGATTAGTCAAACCGGGGAAAGTTACAGGCTTCTCATTGAGCAGCGGCTGTAGTCTGAGGTCACCTCCCCCGCAGTCAGAGAGCACCAGGACCAAGTTAGCTGCATAGGGCAACATGTGAGTGGTGCGGAATGAGCGATGGGCCTGTGCAGCATAGTTGGTTGATGTCAGCGGTTCGCTGTCCTTGAAGAAGCCCAGAAGGGTAAGCAGAGGAAGAAGGGTGTCTGCATGGCCCACCTGGACTGTCACAGCTTCAGTCACCTGCTGTCCCAACCTGCCGCACAGAGGAGAAAGAAAGTTTAAAATTAGCTACAGTTCCTGCTGTAAATCTGAAGATAAACTGTAAAGAAAACACAAAAGCGGGACTCTGGAGTCCATCCCAATGCCATATAAAATTGTCCTTTGATGAATGGTTTCTAGTTATGTAAACATAATTATTTCATGTATTTCTTTAATCAAGGGCATCAGAAACCTACAGGTTATTAAAAGTTCACCTACTTATTCTGAGTGGCCGTCTTGTCCATTCGGCTAAACACATCATGAAATAGGATACAGCTTGCCTTGCTGTTAATATCATGACCATAGCCTCTTTTCCAGAATTCCCTTAGGTCACTTGCATACTCAATAACCTGTTAAACCAGATAAATGCTCAAAATTGAAACAAGATGTTCAACTGTTTAAACCACAAAAGATTCTTCTGGCTTCTCTAACAACCTCATAAACATCTGCACTTAATATATCTGATGGCTATCTCCTACCTTTGCATCGTCCTCGTCAAAGAGCTCACACCAGGGGGACTTCACTGACCTAATTGCAAATTCGTAAGCACACAAGTAAAATGCAGCCTCAGCCACATCTGCAAGATAAATGTTAAGTGGTTCAGTAACACAGGCTGTTCAAACATGGATTCTTCTCTTCCAGAGAGGTGGCATCCTCACAAAATGAACTAGGAAGCGTTTAGAGAGCAGCCTTCATCTGACTGCTCAGAATGAAGTTAACACTGAAGCACCTTAGATGTAAGATATATGATATTATAAATAAGGCATTGCTCTGTTAATACAGATAATAAGAGTGCAGATAATACACTCAGTCTGGTTTTGTAGACACAACCGTATGTGATGGAACTGTATGGGACGTTGAGGATGTCTGCGATCTTCTGCTGGACCCTCCTCATCTCTGGCCCTTGCTTGAACTTCTCCACCTCTGTCACAGCTGATGGGTTGTTATCAACTTCCTCCAAAAACCTGGTGCATTTATCAAAAAACCTCATGAGAGCGTCATTCACCGCGTGATCAAACTCCATATCTGCACAGAGGAAAGCAACAGATTATAATGAGCAACAGGTTATGCATAAAGGGGCCATCATAATAATCATGGTCGTACCTTTAATATGCCACAGCTCTGTTAGTCCTGCCTTGAAGGACAGTGTGCTGTTGACACACCTGTGCTTTGAGCTGGTTATGAATTTGATGAATCCACCTCGAAGCTTCTCCTCTGAAATCAGTGAGGGGAACAGCTTTGACAGCCTGACAGCCAGGTGCTTCAGCTCATCCACACCTTTCTGGACGAGTCGTCCGTCCATGTCCTCAGTGTACCACATCCTCCACTGGGTCTGCAATTCGTGCAGCCAGCTCTGTTCTCCTGAGGCATTGTGCAGGACGATGTTATAGAGCTGCTGCATCTCCTTAATATTTTTGGTCGTCGGGTATCTTGTGCCATGTCTTATTATGGCTGTCAGATGAATTTGTTGACATTCATCCAGTGGAGGCTGTAAAATTGACCTGTTTACAGCAAGTATGTCCTCTCTGAGATACGGGTTAACCTCCTCGTACCTCCCTTTCGTGTTGAAATATTTGGCGATTGCTGGTATATTAGCCTCGTCTTCGAACGTCACGTAATTAGATAAAAACCCAGAGGTGTAAAAAACATAAAACACTATAAATTTCCAAAGAAAAGTCAGCATGATGCACGTTTGAAGAGAGCAAAAAAATAAAAAATCAATGTGACGCCATCAGAAATAGGACAGAGCAAAGTCCAGTGCAGTTTATTTACCCTGATTTCCTCAGAACACATGTTCCAATTCCAAGGACTTTCCATTCCCCTTTGACTTCCCGAGTCCCTTCCAGTCATTACTGATGCGTCACTGTTTCTTTGTCTTTCATAATTATAATTCATTAAATACTCCTCCAGTACTTGTCACTAGATATTTTCATTTCAGTTTTGAACAAACAGGAAATGAAAACATATTTAACGTGAAAGGTTGGGCATGTTTGTTGATGTTTTTATGACTTCTTGGTGCCCAGTATGCTTTGCATTATACAAATTAGGGTTAGGTCCTAGGAGATGAATAAAAGACATTCATTAGCTAGAAAGAAAAAGTCACACATTTGTTAATGCAAAGTTCTTTATAAAATTCCTGTTTATGGTCGATCAGGATTTGGATTGATGTCCTGAAGGCTTTGGTATTACTGATACAGTAAGGTCAATTTTAGAAATAATATAATAATATAATTCATAACTTCAGAAATAATCAAAGACTCTGACATAGAATTGAAAGTAAGCGTGGCTTACTAAGTAGAGTCCAGTCTTCACCAATAGATGGCCTCAGATGAAAATGAGTGGGGTTGGCGTGTTCCTGTACAACATTGCATTTTTCTCTCACTGTAGTTGTCACTGTTGCTGTGTTTAAATGCTCCGACTTAGCTGGTAAATCATAAATTAAACATGCAAACATTCCTATCTGTTGCTAAAAACAAATATGCTGTAGGTTGTCAATTTTGTTGCTTTTTTATGCTTAATGGGAGTCGTGTGCTGCTGAGTCTCATCGTTGGTCACGTTGCTGTATTGGCATGAAGCGTCATTTTTTAAATTGTGCGATTTCCATTGATGCTTGAAGGCAGCACTTGGTGACGTCGTGTGGGGAACTCCCTGCTAACCCGCCTACCCTACTGACCAAAAGATACAGACCACCACATTGCGGTACTGAGCAGTACGAGTCGAGAAGAGGTCCGTAAACATTTCACATTTCAACGGTAAGGCAATTTCAATACAGTTATCTAATGTCGAAAACGAACCTAGCTATCGAAAGATACCTCTCTGTTCCATATTTAGTTGTTAAGTTAACACTTTGGCTTCCGAGTCGTGTGGAGATAGGTTAACCTAAGTTAATGTGTTAACTACAAACTGAAAGATAAACCGCTGTATTGCAACAGCTGCTCTTTTGTGCGACCACTTCTTATCTTTTCCATGTATTTCCAAACGTTGCGTTAGCCCACTAAGCGCTCCCTGGCCTTGTGTTGAAACATTTTTATCGACTCTTCTCGACTAAACATGTCCCGTTATCGTTTATCGGGATTCGGCTACACTCCTCTGTGTGGTAATTTTAACCCGTGCTGGTTATTAATGTGCAGTTTTTATTCCTACACACACACACACACACACACACACACACACTTGCTTACTGTCCTCCCAGACCCTCGCTTTCAATACAAGAGCCCAAGCTAGCAGGCTAGCTAGCTAAATACTGAAGACGCCAGCTTGTCTATCTATTTTTAGGTGGTCAGACTATAAGCTTTTAAGCCACACTATACAGAGCGGCTGCTAAGGCCTTGGTGTGAATGAAAGCGGTGTTTTTAGCACGCTAAGTCACTTGAGTCAACCATTATTTGGATGCAAAGCTAAATCTCAGGTATGCCCGTTACAGAGACGGCGGATGAGTGGGTGTATTTTCCACCAATCTCGCTGTACTACTCTTACTCTTTCTGTGTAAATATTAACCGAGAGAAAAAGATGGTCAAACATTTGTTTTAGCCCTGTGCTTCTTGGCTGAATAACAGCCGCATCTGTTTTGCTTCTCTTAAGAAGAAGAAGAGGTGGGACCTGACATAGCACTGTTTTCCACACACTGCAACAGAGAAGCCCACTTCACTTTAAGGAAACAGAAGTGTTTAAATAATTGTAGCTTCTTTGAAGAAACAAAACCGAAATTTGTTTCGTTTGCTGTGTATGACCACCGATATCCACACAGGGCACAAGGAAATGCCCTGAAGACTTTCACCAGTCAAAAGAGACAGTGAACGAAGTGAACAGGGAGATGTCTGTGCCAAGAAACTGTTGAGAAAGCAGCTCTTCACTGCGATAAACAGTGTGACTGCAGCCAGTGTCAAGAAGGCAAAATGCTAAATGGGGTTTATTGTTGTCACTGTACTCAGAGCTTTTGCAGAGAACGCCTCATTGCACAAGGGAAGCATGCCACACATTGAACAAGCATTTGACAAGCAAGAAAACAGATTTTTTTCGTTTAGTAAGGGGTAAAAAATGTGATTCCTCTAGGCACAGCCATGAAAAACAGATTGGACAACAATACCACCATGAATTTCCTTTTTCCTCGAGAACTGGGAAGGAAATGGGGTTTCCATGCTGTCATTGACTATTGTGTGCCCCCCCCTCCCCCCCCAGTTTTTCATTTTTAATTTTTAATTTTTAATTTAGAAATTAAAAAGATCTAACACAGACACACAAACTGTCTACTTTTTGTTTGTTTGTTTATCAATGATGTTGGTTACAGGAAGCAATTAAAGTGTATGAGGTGGTGTAAGTATTATTATTTTTGTTAATGATAGCACCATTGTCTAGGTTTTGACATTGACATCATTTTTGAATCTAACTGACGGTAGCACCCTTATGAGTGATGTTTGCATGTGCCGACAAACTGTTAGTGGAAGCTTAGGGAAATTTTTGGGTCTAGCCTCTGCAGAAGAGAGAGAAGCAGACAGCGGCAGGAAATGAGGAGAGACACAGTTATGAACAGAGCAGGATGAGGAAGACGAGTGAGACACAAACTCCAAGACAGGGAAAAGCAGATAAAAGGGGGGAAGAAGCCTGCATGTGCACTCACCACAGAGTTTTAGTAAATAAAGCCTTTTGTGAAAGATACACTGCCAAGGTGCAGTGCATACTGCATACTGGTGTAGTGGTTTGGGTGGATTTGTTTTGTTGTAATAGTGATACCCATATATAAATTACTTCTCCGTTACCTGGGCAGGGCAGACTGAAATAACGCACTCTTGGGCATAAAATTTAACTCTTGAATTATTCCCCATTAATTAAGCTTACATTTATTCTTCATTCATTCATTTGTCAAAAATATACTTGATGTATTTAATGTTACATTTTTTTTTATATTAATGTAATATGTGGAGTTAGGGTTTGCTGATGTGTTTAAAGTTTTACTAACAGTCCACGTGACTTTGTGTCAACCAGCGATTTCTGATATATCTGTCGAGGTGATGGAGGTCTTGGTTAACAATTAACACAGCTGTGACAGTGTCGGGGAAAAACGAACATTATGGGCATCATAAAAGTGGACCCAGCACCGTACTAGAGTGCTTTAGATTGTCAGGTGTGCTTGATAAGGTGACTAATGTTATCCTGCTATCCTTACCTTTCTCTCTAGAAATGTAGTAATCTATAGTAATATGCTTAACCTCTTTGAGGATTTTGTTCACAAATTTTAAAGTCATTTCAGACCAGGGGGTGGTGTGTGTGGCAGAGTTTTATTTTGTACTGGCATAAACTATATAAGTTGTAAACTTGTCAGGTGCCACAGTCCTTCTGTCAGTGCTTTTGAAGTGGGGTTGAACTGCAACACTAGGATTAAATACCCTTCATTCAGAATAAATAATTGTGAAGGGCCAAGGTGGTTAGTAACACAGTGTGCAGTCATAGCCAAAATTTTGTTTCTCATGCACATTGCTGCTTCATTTTTTATATAGATTATTTTTGAAATGTTTTCATGATATGGTGAGGTTTAAAGTAAGTTTAAAGAATGTTTAGTGGTAAATAAATGATTTCAATGATTTTATGTTGGTGCCACTGGCTAAACATTTGGTCACATGTGTAGTTTTTGAAACAAATGTCTTTTGTTTTACCTAAAAATGGAAAACCGATCAAATTGTTATTGGAAGTCATAGTTCTGGGCCATTAAAAGAGGTGAGTTTAGCGGAAAAAACTATACAATGTCAACATATAAGGTGAAGTAAGTTATCTAACAGAAGTGACCAAAATTGAGCTAACAAACAAGAGAAACAAACACTGACACATGATGTAATTATGTAATTATGTAATTACAAAAACAAAACATGAAAGTAACTAAATATGTTAATAACTTTCTATGTTGTGTAGCTACTGGGTACATAACACTATTAATAACTTGTGTTCATGTATAATGGCTTTGACTGGAGTACTGTCCAGGATTACTGTCTAGTGATGGGTATTAAGAACCATAAATTCAAACTAGTCTGACACATGGTCCCTCTTAATATTTATGTAACGATTACTGATTCTAAGATGGCAATTTTTTATTCAAATTTCTAAGCACCCGTTAATAATTGTATTGCTGTCTGTTTACATCATGTGCCATCTGGTCATATTTTCAAAATCCTCTTTCTTTTTCTTTCTTTTCTTTTTTTTTTAAACTCTATATATCTCACTGAATTATTCTAAATTCTTTTTTGGTGGCTACTTCTAAGTTCACCGCCTCTTTCACTTCTTGTGCTTTTGGTGTGCCACAAGGTTCTATTTTGGAGCCTTTATAGTTTCTGATATATATGGTCCTTATGGTCCACATTTGTTATCACTGATACACAGATGACATTTAATTACATATCTCTTTTAAACCTCAAGATGTTTCTAAGTTCTAGATCTTGCATAGGTGCCAAGACTCTATTAAAAATTGGATGGCTCCCAATTTGCTCTGACTCGATAAAGAGAAAACAGAAGTACTTGTTTGTGGCCCTTGTGAGATTTGTGCCTAAAGTAATGGAAACATGAGGTCCCTTTTGCAAAAGTGGTGAAGAGACCTAGAGTTACACTAAGAAACTTTTGACTGAGTTTCAGCTTGGATGTTTGTGTTAAAGAAAGAAAGAACCTCAACAAAAAACAAAACAAAAAAAAAAACCTAACAAAAAAACAAAAACAATTTTTAATTTCCTTGTAGTTTAATTTGGGATATAACAGTTGTATTCATTCATAGCCATTTGAAATGTTCCAAAGAATGGCACAACAGCATATAAAAATGTAAAGATAGGCTCTGGTGGGCTTGTTCTATGTTAGGCTAAAAAGAGTTAATGAAAAAGCAGCTAAATGCTATATACTGAATATAAAAAGGTAGTTGCACATAAATACGGCAACACCAGCAAAATCAGAAAACTGATAAAAGGACCATTTGTTATATTAATAGGTATGGTTCAGCATATTTGGCTGCTTAACTAAAACACCAGCTTCTTTTGAACAGCCTCTCATTTCTAACACTGCTGGGATTAACTAAAATTAAGGTCTATTGTTTGCTGTCATTATCAAAATGACTCAGAACAAGGTTGGCATTGAGTTTCAGCACTCTTTAAAATCTTCCTAATTAGGGCTTGATCCCCACTGTGTGCTCCCTTTGGGTAGCAGTAACTTAGCCTAGTTTAAACTTAGTTCTGTGTAATAGTACCACTTACACTAACTAATTCTGTATTGTAAATTTTTGTTAATATTCAGTTTCTGTTTTTTATTTCATAGGTTTTATAATTTAAAAAATTAGATATTTATTTGATGACTGAAAATAGTTAGCATATTTGTGCTTTAATATGCAATCTTATGTGTTAATGCTAGTAGCTAATGCACGTGTTAGTTGACTTTACATTTTATTGATCAACTGCTATTGGTTTAATTAAGCATTTATGGGCCAAGTAAAATGCAGAGCTTCAGTACTGTTTCTGCCATAATTAGAAACGCATGAAATTTTACCACCACTCACATGATGTCCCAGTTTCTTGTGTCCTACAACAGCTTTTAGAAATCTAGGCTAGTAGCACGGAAATGTCAGGAAAGAAATTGTGTCAAAATACAAGATAGCATTTTAATAATTCTGCAACAAAAGGGCAGTGCATAAGTAGGAATTTCACTGGAGTTGATGTGTGAGCTTTAAGTTTTTAGTTGATGCAGGGCCATGACAAACGCATGTTGGCAAGCATGATGGGTGGGTCTG